CATTAGATAGTTTTTAAACAAATAATTATAAAAATACATATATATATATATATATATATAGTCACTTAGCATGTACAACCATGACCTACACCAAGGTAATATATGGATATCCTAACGAGTATCCAGGATAAGTATATCCTACACCGTATACCACAGACGGAAATCCAATAAGTCCACCATAGGGAATTCCAGCAAATGGTATTGCACCATATAAACCATAGTAGCCAAACCCACCATATCCACAAGGAAAATTGATACCACTGAGGCACATTATTTAATATATAAAATCAGACTAGTATTAATAAAAAAAATGAAAGAATCTATTGATTACTTTTATTCAATGTCTATACTTACTTTTCGTAGATATAAAATTTGTATTTGCAAGATGAATGAATATCAATGGAGAAGCTTTGTGCCTTTTATACTCAGCGCTGACGAGTATTTTTGTTGTTATTATTCAGATATTAATGGTTCGAGAAAATTCGTGGGAGTAAACATGTATTTTGGACTTCGAATGTATCCCTTTTAATTATATTTTTGCAGTCATGAAGAAAATAAAATCTTCAGGTCTTTGAATTAACATGATTAATTGTGCATGGCGATATATTTCCAAAATAGCTGACTGTACACCACCCACGGATTAAAAACATGCAAATACATTATATATTTTATGTTGTTTTAATTATATATTTTGGCATAGAGAAATGATGGCACAGGAAAAAAAGACATTTTTTTGAAATGTCATCCATGATCTTGAAAGTTTTTATTCGTGAAAATGATGAATTGTTCATTAAAGTTATATCATACAGATCAATCATTTACATCAAAACCATGGCAATACAAGCCTTATACTTTTACTAGAGCTATGTCATGAAAAACATGACTTAGTAGAGGCGTAGTTTATTCGCGATCTGAATGTTCTGCAGACTCAAGTGAACTAAGTTGTCTGCACTTTTGGCAGCCCAAGTTAATTACTTTCCGAGGAGTTGAGCAGTGAACCTTTGAAACATTCTATTTACTCTATAAGCATTATAAAGTGGTACATATCCGAAGTATTGAATTTACCCATTTATACAACAAAATTCAGTGCATGACGTCCTTCTACTTCTTAAACATTCTAGTTTTTGTAAAATCGATACTGTAAAGACATATGCACAGATAAAAACTAAATTAATCATTTGTCACCATGTATTTCAATTAAAACCATACATTGAAACTGATTTTAATAAAGAAAAAAGAAAAAGAGGAAACTCATTCATCCACAATCCTGAAAAAATTTATTGATTCAAATAAAATAGTAAAACATAAGTCATGTTATAAATTTGATTTTTGTTTACAAAAACGAAAGTCATACAATAATAGTATATTCAAGTAATGAAACTAATTTAGTGATTTTGATGTTTTGCAAATAGCCAAGGTCATGACATGAAAATAATGCAACTAACATAATGTTTATCATGTTTTACAAGCAACCAAGCTTTCACGATGAAAATTATATATAAATAATGAAAGTTATACATATAATGATTTTAACTTGTTCTTAATAACCAAGTCCAGGGAGTGATATTGATGGGAATATAATGAAACTAATATAATAATTTAGATATTTCACAGGTAATGAAGGTCATGAGATGAAAATAATGCAAAATAATGAAACTAATGGCGTGATTTTGGTTTATTCGAATAATCAAATTCATCGAGTGAAAATGATACAATAGTAATGTAAAGATTTTGATTTTTTTCAAATAATCAGATTTATGGAATGAAAATAGTACTAAAGCAATTGAATGATTTCGTTTTTTTTTGGAAATAATAAAAAGCATGACATTTTTTTGATGAAAATTCTGAAAATGATTATTTAAATGAAGTTTCTTTTATTACATGGAAACGATATAGGTCATAAAATAAGATTTGTCGCGATTGTTTTCTTTTATTCAATAGGTTTTCTATATCAAAAGTCAAGTTTTTCATATTCATAATAAACAAAAAATTGATTATGCTTTAATATTTCATTCAATAATTAAAATGTAGCAAACAAACTCATCAGTCCGATATCAAATGCATCTATTCTGATACTGAAAGAAAAGAAAAATAGCGATTTTTTTTTCTAACATCTGCATAAAGCCAGAAGACGATAGTTTTATCGTATAAAACTATGATTAAACCGGAATATCATCGTAAGTTTTATAGTTTCGTCAACATTGTGATTGTTTCTTATTACTATTATTTCATTGTTGTCGATTTGACATATTTTCTAATGCTCTAAGACATCGTTCAATATTTTTATTCGATCGATAATTTAAGTGTAGTTGCCGTATCATCGTCCCATAGATCATACAATTTTTATGTTGATGAACTCCATGAATGATGATTTAATGTAAAATTTATGTGCAACTGTAACTATAAATGCGCACTAACAATGATAGAACTTTTTAAGACGTGAATTATATGTGATTGATCAAGAATAAAGACAGGATATTTTATCAGGTACAAACTAGAAATACAGAATCCCGTAGATCTAACATGTAAAATAACAAATAAAGCTTCCAATGCAAAATGAAACTAGGAAATTTACATTCTGTTAATTAATTCTCATGATTTAAAGTAGAGCAAAAACGTTTAGTACGCTTTTTTTATTTTTTAGATTCTTCCATGAGGACAACTTATATAAGAGACTGAAATAGTGATGTGGTTAGTTATCAGAACGAGATGCAAAAACTAAAATGTAAACAATTTTTAGAACATAAATATTTTATTGTTTTATTATAAAAAAATAATTTTCTC